AGGAGAATCACTGCAACCTGCGAGGCAGAGGCTGCAGTGAGCCAAGATCACATCACTGCACTCCAGCCTGGGCCCCAAAGCGAGACTACATCAGAAAGAAAAAAGAAAAGAGAGAAAAAAAAATAGGCAATCCAACATGAACTAAAGAAAATATCATCTCTCTTGGGAAGTGTCATTTCCTTTTCCATTAACTTTATTCTCTCGGCCAACGAGCTGAAAGTTACTATTCCATCTTATTCATAGCTGTGTACAGTAACTGCCAACATAGGGGTCCCATACACTAGTGCTTCTCACACTTACTTGAGTGTGCATAAGAATCCCCTGGTGACCCTATGAAGTTGCAGATTTCTTTTTTTTTTTTTTTTTTTTTTTTTTTTTGAGACAGAGTCTTACTCTGTTGCCCAGGCTGGAGTGCAGTGGTGTAATCTCAGCTCACTGCAGCTTCTGCCTCCTGTGTTCAAGTGATTCTCCTGTCTCAGCCTCCCAAGTAGCTGGGATTACAGGCATGCATCACCACACCCAGCTAAGTTTTGTATTTTTAGTAGAGATGGGGTTTCACCATATTTCCCAGGCTGGTCTTGAACTCCTGACCTCAAGTGATCTGCCAGCCTTGGCCTCATAAAGTGCTGGGATTACAGGCAGGAGCCACAGCACCTGGTTGAGTTGCAGATTCTTAAGCAGTACACTGGTCTGGGACAGGGTCGGAGATTCTGCATTTCTAACATGCTCCCAGGTAATACCTATGATGCTGGTCCATGAGCCACATTTAGAATAGCAAGGCCATATACAGTTCTAGAGTTAAAGACAAGTCTTCAGGGCTTTCTGGACATAAACATAATAGCAGAGTTAAAAATACAAAATAAGCAAACAGAACCAGTCTCTTTTTACTTCGCTCTTTTTTGTCAGAGAACTTGGATGCCGCATTCCTTCCAGGAAGTGACTTTAGGAGACGTTCAGTATGTAACTTAATTGGAAGCAATTCAATTCCAACAGTACTCCTCTCCTGGGCATAAGGTGAGACGCCTGAGACGCCTTCTGACTATGACCCTACACCACAGTGACACCTGCTGGTGAATTGATGGATTACATTTTGAGCCCATTTCTTCAAGGAGGCTTTGAAAATAATTGACTCATGGGAGCAAACTTTTTCACACTTAAAACTGCCTGAAGTGAATCTCTGGCTGTAAAAGAAATCTTTAAAAATAAGATATCTTAACCCTTGATAAGAATTAAGATCTGAGCAATGGTATGCTGATATATATTTAGCAACCAGCTATTGTGTGTGTGTGTGTGTGTGTGTGTGTGTCTTATACATTTTCCTGATATATAAAAGATTACAGCACAATTAATGAAATGTACAATATATTCTATTGTAAATCCTATATAGAAATTGATTCACAGAATGGCTATGCTTATTTTTACCAAACTTGTGTTGATTGTTAACCTGTAATTGCAATTCAACCACGTCTGACAAACAGACTATAAATAAATGCCTAATCAGCATGCAATCTGGCAATGAAGCCACTCAAATCATTGATGATATGAATATAATTCTGACATGAATGTTGGTTGATATTTTTATTTACATTAATGAATAAGGCAACAGTGAAACAAAAATATATGTTAGAACTTCACTTATTCATCAATGATACAAACATAACTTCTCTTTAGAATTGGATAATGCAATCGACTTTTGAATAATGCCAGGGTTAGGGGTGCCAAACCCAGGCACAGTTGAAAATCTGCCTGTAACTTCTGACTCCCCAGAAACTTAACTACTAGTAGCCTACTGCTGACTGGAAGCCTTACTGATAACATAAACAGACAATTAACACATATTTCGTATGTTACATGTATTATATCCTGTACTCTTATAGTAAAGACAGCTAGAAAAAGAAAATTAAGAAAATCATCAAAAAGAGAAAATATGTTTACTATTTATTAAGTGGAAGCGAATCGTTGTAAAGGTCTTCATCCTCATGATCTTCATGCTAAATAAGCTGAAGAGGAGGAGGAAAAAGAGGGGTTGGTCTTGGTTTATCAGGGTAGTATAGGCAGAAAAGGTAGAAGTGACAGAAAAGGTAGAAGTGATAGAAGAGGTGGAAAAGGAGGTAGGAGAGGCAGGCACACCGGTGTAACATTTTTTTAAATCCACGTATATGTGGACCCGTGCAGCTCAAATGCATGTTGTCCAAAAGTCAACCGTAGTGTTCAATACTGGAAGACTATTGCTTCAGTTTCTGTGTTGTTCATAATGTAGTCACAGACTGACACAATTTTAAGTTTAAACCACATTATTAACATTCCTCCATCATTTTTTAAAGTCTAGACAGTCAACAAAATGATAAGTCCAGCCCTGGTTTGGTGTATTTGTTAACTTCCTTGTTACAAATACTGCCACCATGACTTGTTTCAAGCTGCCAATGTGAAATCACTGGCGGTGGAGTTGGGCAGGTGGGCCCGACTCCAAGGCATTTCCACCATATACATACAGTAGAGAGAAATCATCTCCAGAGTATAGGTACTGGGAAATCATAACACATCACTGGGAAGTGGTAAATTTTGAGTGTTTGTAACCTTTGTTTTTAGTATGATTTATTTAAATTTATATAATTTAATTTTTAATAGTGGCTGTTTTTAACAACCAGCTCAGATATTTTTTAAAAGTTTAACAACTGAGTCTCATGAGCCAGTAGGAGACAGTCCCAGAAAACCACTGGGTCTGCTGGATGGCAGCGAGGTTTGAGGATAACATAAAAACGTTATTCAGAGCGGGAGGACTTGCTGGGGATTTCATCCTAAAAAAGGCTTATCCCAGCTCTTCACCAGGTCAGCAAATGAAGTCACGAAATTGCAGTGGAATACACAGGCACGGTTCCTGATATGGAGATCTCTTCCTGATAGTGAGAAAAGAACTGAAGTTATCCTGCCCAAGAGTAGACATTAGCAGGAACCTTGAAGGGCCAAGGTAATAACAAGGTTGCAAATAGGAGAGAGACAGGTAGGGAAGAGAGACCCCTGGCCTGTCTCTCTTCTGAACCTCCCGTGCCGCTGATCAGGCTCCTGTTTCACAACAGCATAAACAGAATATTAGGGGCAAACAAAAGGTTAGCAAATATGTTCTTGCCCCCAGTGCACATTCACCGGGAGTGAAGAGAGAAAATGAAAAAGGAAGACACTCACTCCTGAACTCTAACCTTTGGCTCCTCTAAAGAAGGACAGGATGATGAAGCCTCTGCCTTTGGTTTGATGTGAGTGCTGAGTCTTAACTCTACTTACTCTCCACCTAAAGGGAAAAGTGGCTACGTTTATTTCATTAGGATCTTGCTGTTTTAAAACCAGAAAAATCTATAGCTCAATAGACCAGGAAAAGATTTCAGAAACCATCTAATCTAGTCCTCGCATTTCACAAATAACTGTAAACACCAACACTTCTGCACTCAGGAAGATGGAAAAGTACTTCTCCATAGTCCTTCTGAAAAGTACAACTCTTTATCCTTCATATTATAAATTTAATAGACTGAGAAATTCAGTATTCAAGGAATGACAAAGTGGCAATTCCCTGTGTTTTCTTTTTGCCTAATACATATCAGACTTGTTGCTGAGGAGACAGGCAACTAGGAAAGGTCAAAGAACCAGGAAATGGACAGCCCAGCAAGAAAGAAAACTGGTAAATAATAAACCCTCAACTCTCATCAACAACCACAGAAACGAAGGCAGGAAATGAAAGAGGGAACATTGCTACCAATTTTACCGAAATCAAAAGGGGTGTAAAAGAGTATTATGAACAATTGTATGCCAACAAATTGGCAACCTAGATGAAATGGATGAATTCCTAGAAATATATAACCTATCAACATTGAATCATGAAGAAAGAGGAAATCTGAATAGGCATACATATTAGTTTACTAGGGCTGTCATAACAAAATACCACAGACTATGCTGCTTACACCATGGAAATTTATGTTTCCACAGTTTTGGAGGCTGGAAGTCCAAGATCAAGGTGTCTGAAGGTTTGATTTCTTCCAACGCCTATGGCCACATGCAGATGGCCCCGTTCTCACTTTGTTCTCACTCGGCCTTTCCTTCGTGTCTTTTTTGATGAGGAAGGAACACTTCACTCATTCTATGAGGCCAGCCTTACCCTGATACCAAAAGGACACACATATCTGGTGTCTCTGTCCATGTCTTAATCTCTTCTTATAAAGACACATACTGGTTTATGGCCACCCCTAAAATCCCGTTTTAATTAACTACTGCTGTAGAATTCCTAACTGCAAATATAGTCACATACTGAGGTACTAGAGGTTAGGTCTTCAATACAGGAATGGCGGCGGGTAGAAGCGGGGGTTGGGGGGGAGGTGAGCACAATTCAGACCATAACAACCCATAACTAGTAAGGGTAGTGAATCGGAAATCAGAAGTCTCCCAACAATCTTCCAGAATTCACATCATTAGTGAATTCTACCCAATATATGTATTTTTAATTAACACCAACACTCCTCAAACTCTTCTAAAGTGGTAAAGAGGGAGGAGCCCTTACAAACTCATTCTGTGAGGCCAGACATACCTTAACACTAAAGCCAAACAAAAACATTATAGATAAGAACACTTGCCACTGGCTGGTAACAAAACCCTGCCTCCCACAGTGTCAGTGGAGACCACATGCAAAGTGTAAACTTTCCCCTCTAAAGGCAAAAATGAAACACCCCTTTCTTTTCACTGGAGAGGTTTTAGAAGAGGTCTAATGAAGAGTCATGATGTTCACCATTGACCAGCAGCAATGAAATCACTCCCATGGCAGTATCAGTGGAGACCACAAGGGAAGCTGACCTCCCACCACTGCCCATCAGTAGTGAAGAGTTTCCTCCTTTGATATTATCAGAAGCCAAGTGAGGTATCACTATTTCGCATCCAACTGGCAGAAATGATGCAGCACAGAACTCCCCTTCTCTTCCTGGAGGAGTAGCAGGAAAAGCAGCTTAAATAAGATCCATATTGTATTTTTGTTTCAACAGTACAAATATTAAAACTGGAATAATACAGAGAAGATTACTATGGCCACTGCATGAGGATGACATGCAAATTCATGAAGCATTCCATAAAAAAAAAAAATCAAGATCTCAAAACATATGATTTCAATGTCCCAGTTTCAATAAAAAATTATTCATACCAAGAAGCAAAAAGATCTCAAAGTAAATGAAAAAAGACAATCAATAGATGCAACTACCACTGACAGAGATGTTGAAATTTACCGGGAAAAAATTTTAAAGGAGACATAATTTTTTAAATGCTCTAATGGGCAATATAAACATGCTTGAAATAAGTGAAAAAATAGTAAATTTCAACAAAGAGATACAAAGTTTCAAGAAAGAAATAGAAGACATAAAGGAGAATCAAATGGAAATTATAGAACTAAAACATACAACAGTCAGTATTAAAAAGCTCAGTGAAGAGGCTGACTGTAAGAATGGACAGGAAAGAGGAAAGAATCAGTTATCTGGAAGGTAAAACATTAGACATTGCCTAAATAACAATAGAGAAAATAGATTGAAAAAAACGCACAGAGCTTCAAGAACCTGCGAGACTGTAACAGAAGATCTACGATTTGTGTATTTGGAACCCTGGCAGGAAAGGAGAAAGAAAGTGGGGCTAAAGAAGTACTCAAAGAAATAATGAGTGAAAACTTTCCAAAATTGACAAAAGACAAATCTATAGATTCAAGATGGCCAAACACCAAACAAGATAAACCCAAAGAAATCTGCATCAAGACACATGACATCATGATCAAACTTCTTAAAACTAAAGACAAATATGAAGTCTTAAAAACACCATAGGAAAATGACACCTTACCTATTGAATAAAAACAGTTCAAATTACAGTTGATTTCTCATCAAAAACCATAGTGACTAATAAGAAATGGCATGATATTTCAAATGCTGAATGGGAAGAACTAACAACCCAGAATCCTATATCCCACAAAAATTCTCTTCAGGGATGAAGGAGAAATCAAGCCATGTTCAGATGAATACAAATTAAAATAATCTGTTTCCAGAAGAATGGTTTTTAAAAGGGTTCTTAAAAGGAAGAAAACTATAAAGAATAAGCTAAGGAAAAAAATAAACAAAAAACCCTGAGTCTTCTAATTTATGTTTATTCATTGAAACCCATAACACTGTCTGATATGGTCCCAAATATATGTTGAGGAAATATTTGAAATGATTCTATTATAAGTGGAGAAGGGTAAAGGAATGTAAAAGGAGATATGATTTCTATATCTCACTCAAGCTAGTAAAATGACAACATCAGCCACTTGTAAAGTTTATGTATATGTAATATAATACCTAGAGAAAAACACTTAGAAACAAATAATACACACACGCACATATATATACATACATATATATGTAAATGACAAATCTTTGGTGATAATAGCATGTTAATGTAGATTCTTCAGTAAAGAAATGTACCTCTGTGGTGTAGATAGTGCAGGAAGTCATAAGGTATGGGGCTGAGGGATACACTGGAGCTCTCTGTACATTCTGCTCAATTCTTCAGTGACTCCAAAACTGCTCTAAAAATAAAGTCTAGTTACATACATATATATGTATATATGTGAATTATTAAATTATCAAATTATACATATAAAATTGCATCAAATATAAATGGTCTAAATACACTCCCCCAAAAAAAACCAGCATGTAGGTTTTAAAATACAACCCAACTACATGCTGCCCATAAGAAACAATAATGATATAAGTAAATAAGATTGGAAAAAAAAAGTTGTATCATGGAAACATTAATCAAAGAAAAGCAAGATTGGTTATATTGCTATGAGATAAAGTAGACTTCAGAGCCAAAAATATGACCATAGACAGACAGAGACATTATAGAAAGACCAAAAAAAAAAAAAAAGTAGTCCACCAAAAAGACATAGTAATCCTAAGTAAGTGTGCACCAAACAACAGAGCTACAAAACATGTGAAGCAAAAAGCAAAAACACATAGAACTGAAAGGAGAAATAGGCAAATATACAATTACGTTAAAGTCTTCACTCTCCTCTCAACAGTTGACAGAACAACTAGAGTTTCAAAAAGACTACAGAAGAACACAATATCCCATTAATCAACAGAATCTATCCAATATTTTTAGGGAATTTCTTCAACAGCAAAAGGATACATATTATTTTCAAGCACTCATAAAATATATACCAAGATAGACCATATGTCTAGGATCATAAAACAAACCTAAAAATTTTGAAGTATTAGAATCATACAAAGTGAGTTCAGTGACCACAATGGAATCAAACTGAAAGTCAGTAACAGAACACTAAGAGGAAAATATTCGGCCGAGCACAGTGGCTCATGCCAATAATCCCAGCACTTTGAGAGGCCAAGGTGGGCAGATCAGGTCAGGAGTTTGAAACCAACCTGGCCAACATGGTGAAACTCCGTCTCTACAAAAATTCAAAAATTAGCTGAGCATGGTGGTGCACGCCTGTAATCCCAGCTACTTGGGAGGCTGAGGCAGGAGAATTGCTTGAACTCAGGAGGCAGAGTTTGCAGCAAGTCAAGATTGCGCCACTGCACTCCAGCCTGGACAACAGAGCAAGACTCCATCTCAAAAAAAAAAAAAAAAGAAAGAAAGAAAGAAAGAAAATATCCAGATACTTGGGAACTGAATAGCACACTTACAAATAATCTTTCAGTAAAGAGGAAAGCTCAAAAGAAATTGAAAATATATTGAATTGACAAAAACACAACTAAAGCAATACTGAGAGAGGGATTTATAGCACTAAACATATACATTAAAGGTGGGGAAAAGCCTCAGATAAATAATCCAAACTCTTACCTCAAGAAGCTAGGGTGAAAAAAAAGAAGACAGAAGCAAGGAAATAACAAAAATATGAGTCAAGATCAATGACATTGAAAACAGAAAAACAATAAAGAAAATTAGACCAGGCATGGTGGCTAATGCCTGTAATCCCAACACTTGGGGAGCCAAGGGAGGAAGATTGCTTGAGCCCAGGAGTTCAGGACCAGCCTGGGCAACATAGCAACTACAAAAAAAATCAGAAAAGGTTGGGCATAGTGGCTCATGCCTGTAATCCCAGCACCTTGGGGACCAAGGTGGGTAGATCACCTGAGGTCAGGAATTTGAGACCAGCCTGGCCAACATGGTGAAACCCCAGCACTACTAAATACACAAAATTACCTGGGCATGGTGGTGTGTGCCTGTAATTCCAGCTACTCAGGAGAATTGCTTCAACCCAGGAGGTGGAAGCTGCAGTGAGCTGAGATCACACCACTGCACTCCAGCCTGGGCAACAATAAGAGACTTTGTCTTAAAAAAAAAAAAAAAAAAGCTCAGGAGATTGAGGCTGCAGTGAGCTGTGTTTGTACCACTGCACTCCAGCCTGTCAGAGCAAGACCCTGTCTCAAAAAAGAAAAGAAAGAAAGAAAAGAAAAAACTGACAAATCTGTAGCAAGACTGACCAAAAGAAAAAAATATTGCAACAAAGGACTCGTGCTAGAATACGTAAAGAACTCGCAAAACTTAAAAGTAAAAAAACAAAACAATCCAATTAGAATATGAGCTAAAGACATTTCACAGAAGATAGACAGCATAAAAGCCTGTGAAAAGATGTTCAATCTTCTTAACCATTAGGAAAATGCAAATTAAAATCACAATTAGATAATCACTATGTATGTCTCAGGGTGGCCAAAACTAAAACTAGTGACAACACTAAATGCTGGGAAGAAGCAGAAAAACTAGATCACTCAAACATTGTTAACAGGAATGTTACAGCCACACTAAAAACAATTCGCCAATGTCTTTAAAAACTAAATGTGCAATTACCATATGACTTAGCAAGTTCACCCCTAGTCATTTATCCTAAAGAAAACAGGCCAGGTATGGTGGCTCACACCTGTAATGCCAGTACTTTGGGAAGCCAAGGTGGATGGATCACCTGAGATCGGGAGTTCGAGAGCAGCCTGGCCAATACGGTGAAACTCCGTCTCTATCAAAAATAGGAAACATTAGCCTGGTGTGGTGTCACATTCCTGTAATCCCAGCTACTCGGGAGGTTGAGGCAGGAGAATCTCTTGAACCTGGAAGGCAGAAGTTCCATGCAGAAGGGCCGGGCGCGGTGGCTCAAGCCTGTAATCCCAGCACTTTGGGAGGCCGAGGCGGGTGGATCATGAGGTTGAGAGATCGAGACCATCCTGGTCAACATGGTGAAACCCCATCTCTACTAAAAATACAAAAAATTAGCTGGGCATGGTGGCTCGTGCCTGTAATCCCAGTTACTCAGGAGGCTGAGGCAGGAGAACTGCCTGAACCCAGGAGGCGGAGGTTGCGGTGAGCCAAGATCGCACCATTGCACTCCAGCCTGGGTAACAAGAGCGAAACTCCGTCTCAAAAAAAAAAAAAAAAAAAAAAAAGAAGTTCCATGCAGTAAGCCAAGATGGCACCACTGCACTCCAGCCTGGGCAACAGAGCAAGACTCGGACTAAAAAAAAAAAAAAAAAAAAAAAAAAAAAACTTATTTTCACACAAAAATGTATATCAAGTTTAATTTTCAAATATGTCATTTACTTCTCAAGGGTTACACAGATGTGTCCAGACAGACAGAACCAGAACTCTGTCCTGCCCTCTATCTGTCACTACATATCTATCCATCATATCTGGAATGTTGTTAAAATTTTGTCTTCATCTGATGGATAATTGTTGCTCCAAGTTCTGTGCTGAAAAGGTTTCTAAGGCCTTGGGATTCTAAGATTAGCAGGAACAACTTTCACAATTGATTAGAGGTATCTGTTAGGAATGTAACCAGCAAGAAATGTAATAGACAAGCTTAATATTTGCCAATCCTAAATTGAAATATGCTGCCTCTCCAATCATAGAATATTCAAACCAAAAGAAATACTAGCAATTACCAAGTACACATCCCCTTTATTATGCTAATGAGGAAAAGCGAAGTAAAATAAGACAGATCCAGACCCCAAGTTTACTATCTCACTTCATTTTACCAAGTTCATCTTTGCTTTTAGAGGTAATTGACTAGAAAAATATTTCAAGTCAGTGAGTTTGTTTTGTTTTTTTTT